TCCATGCACAGATCAGGGGGCAGAAATGGCAATCCATGTGCAGATCAGAGGCCAGAAATAACAATCCATGCACAGATCAGGGGCAGAAATGGCAATCCATGTGCAGAAATGACAATCCATGTGCAGATTGGAGGCAGAAATGACAATCCATGCTCAGATCAGGATAAGCTTAACAGAAAGGAATTGCTTTAATGACAATACATACCTCCTGAACATTTCCCAGGAAAATGGTGCGGGGCAGAAGAACCAATTCCATCGCCAGTATGACCTCCATGAAAATGTTTGAAACTGTGGACCGGCCAACTCCGAACTGCTGAGCCACACGTCGACACGAACACCGGTTGGCAAGCAGCCATAGGGTGATTGCGAGTCTTTCCTCTACAGGAATAGCCCGCCTCATGATAGTGTCTTGCTTCTGCACTTTTGGACGAAGCACCTCCACTATCTTGAAAAACGTGCTGCGAGGCATTCGGAACGTGTTGTGCCACTCTTCATCTGACCACACCGTCGTGACAAAGTTGTTCCACCAGTCCCGACTTCTTACGCACACCCACGGACGAGGAGCCCGTCCGGGTCCATGAGGAATCTCGAGCATAGCCGGATCGACCGCATAGAGACTAGCAGCCCACTGCAAAGCCAGAGCACGGTGTCGCATGTATTCTCGATGACGTTTTTCAATGGCTCTTTGGCGCTGCACTCTGCGCCTGCGATAGAATATGTCCAGCGCATCACGCACCGCGACAGTGGTTTTCAGCAAGGTAATCACCGCCAAGCACACTTCCAATGTGATCTTCGTTCCTGCAACCTCCAGTCCCTGACTGCAAGCGACAATGACCTGTTAAGGCAATGGCGGTTGCATAATGTGTGCAGAATAACTTAAAACTGCAGCGTGCCTGCCCATTCATACAAAGCAGCCAATGGGGATGCTGATGGGTGGGGGGAAAAAGGTGACTGGCTCACAATGATTAATGCAGAAATACGTATCACAAGCACGATGGGAATTTTTTAAAAGGCATGAATATGGATGTGAGGAGGAAAATACTGCAAAATATATAACATGTGATCTTCATAGGACCTCCTTTTTGGGCCACTGTGAGTTTGCAAGAGGGGACTGTGCAGCAGTTTACTCCGATCTCATTGGAATGAATGTGGCATTCACTGGGCCACTGTGAAGCAGGAAAATGCGCTGCAGCTACAAGACTGGTGCACATTTTTATGTCAGTGTAGACAAGCCCTTACTCTCTGGAGCAGCTTGCTCCATCCTCAATATAATATCTCTTCCAATATTTAAACATGGCTAACATGGCACTCTCCACTTTCTCTTCCCCAGGCTGAACATACCCAGCTCCCTCATAGGGCTTGGTGGCTTCCAGAACCTCCACCATTTTGGTTGCCCTCCTCCGGACATGGTTCAGCTTGAACTGTGGTGCCCAGAACTGGACACAATATTGCAGAGGAGGTCCAGGCAAAGCAGAATAGAGTGGCAATATTATTTCCCTCAATCAGGATGCTACGCTCCTATAGATGCAACCTAGAATTGCATTGCCGCATCACACTGTTCGCTCATGTTCAGCTTGTAGTCTACTAAGACTCCTAGATTCCTTTCATATGTACTGCTGTCAAGCCAGGTATCCCCTATATATGAGCCTTCCATTTTTACTGGTAAATGTAGTCCCTTACATTTCTCCCTTTTGAAATTCATTTTGTTAGTTAGTTTGGGCTGGGTTTTCTAATCTATTAAGGTCATTTTGAATTTTGATCCTGTCTTCTAGGGTATTACGAATGTGATGAGCGTGTCCCCATTCCATTATCCATCCTTGATAAAGATGTTGAATAGTGCTGGGCTCTATGTAAAAAGAGCCCTGGTGGCGCAGTGGTTAAATGCCTGTCCTGCAGCCACTCACTCACTCACAGACCACAAGGTTGTGAGTTCAATATCAACCAGGGCTCAGGCTAGACTCAGGCCTGCATCCTTCCAAGGTTGCTAAAATGAGTACCCAAGTGTTGGGGGCCAATGAGCTTACAGTTGTAAACCGCTTAGACATTCCATAGCGCGATATGAAGCGGTATATAAATGAAACTGCTTTATGCAAATCCTTGTTATGGTATAGCTTTTTCTTTCAGGAATTGGAAGATTTGCATAGGGTAAACCCCATCCCTGATCCTTGATGATTCTTGCCCCACCTGATCAAACTGTGCAGCCAGTGTATCTATTCCACCCGAAAGGGAAGACAGTCGAGAAGGAACGTCCAGGGTCATTTCACTGTCTCTGACGTGCGTTCCATTTCCTGTTAGAAAAACAGAAGGTGATGCATTTTAGAATGTGTATAGAGTTGCCCCTCCATTCTCGCGGACTTAAGATTTGCATCCCTCGCTTATGTGCAAGGGGCGAACGGAGGGGAATAAAATGGGGCATGTGTCCGTGGGATGCATGTGCCTCCATTCAAACCAATGGGGCTTGAATACATGCGATCTCCCATTTTTGCGGGAGGGGGTACAGATCCGCCGTAAGAATGGAGGGAGGGCTGTATTAGCTCCCTAACAACAACAAATTATTTTAGTCATTTATATACAGTCCACTTTGATTGTATGTACCTGAACCTGAGGACCAAGGATAGTTTGGGGATTCTGCTAGTATACCGTCCACCCCATTGTCTAGCAGACTCTCTAACCGAGCTGACACAACTGGTCTCAGAGTTGCTGTTGGAGTTGCCTAGACTCTTCGTCTTGGGCAACTTCAACATTCCACTCGAGACCAGTTTGTCAAACAACAAGTGCAGCTCGGGAGTTCATGGAGACCATGACAAACATGGGCCTATCCCAACTGGTCATTGGGCCCACTCATTGTGCGGGTCATACACTCGATGTGATCTTTAGTACAGAACAGGAATATCCCTGGGTAGAGGTTATAAAAACCACCGCTTTGTCATGGATGGATCATTTCCTGGTCAAGGCTGAGCTAAGAACCACTGTCTGCCCTACCGGGGGTGGTGGACCTATTAGAATGGTCCGCCCTCGAAGGCTAATGGAACCACTTGGATTCCAGAAAGCCTTGGAGGGTTTAATGGTTGGTAACGCTGGTGATTCTGTCAAAGCTTTGGTTAATACCTGGAATACCGATCTTACCAAGGCTATCGACACAATCACTCCCAAGCGCCCTTTCTGACCCACTTTAAATTGTATACCATGGTATACAGAAGATCTACGGAAAATGAGACAGGTTAGACAATGACTAGAGCGCACCTGGCTGAAAACTCGACTCTTATCTGACAAGACTTGTCATAGGAAGTTTCTTTGGTCTTATCAAGAGGCAAGACATGCAGCACAGAAATCTTTCTCTTCTGCACGTATTGCATCTTCAGAGTCTCATCCAGCAGAGCTGTTTAGGGTGGTAAGGGAACTGACGCAGGTTCCACCTGCACAGAACCCATTACTTAACCCAACAACGGCCTGCTGTCATGCATTTAACAACTTCTTCGCAGATAAAGTCTCTCAGATAAGAGCAGCAGCTTCGCTGATGTAATTTTACTGGAGGTGTCCAGCAGCTCCGCTGATGTAATTTTACTGGATCATTTTCAATCTGTGAGTACCGAGGACATGGACAAGCTACTCAGTAGAGTGAGGAAGACAACCTGCCCCCTCGATCCTTGCCCTTCATGGCTGGCTGTCCGTGGGGGCGGGGGTGTGTGCCTTGGTGATGTTCCTTAAGGAAATCATCAATCCATCTCTCAGGGAAGGGTGCATTCCATCTTGTTTAAAGGAAGCGGCAGTTAGGCCACTTCTGAAAAAGCCTTCTCTGGACCCCCTGGACAGAAACAACTATAGGCCAGTCTCCCTGCTGCTTTTCCTGAGCAAAGTGATCGAGAGGGCGGTTGCTTCCCAACTCCAAGCTGTCTTG